TTTAAGGTTTTGAGCAAAATCCGCAATAGCTAAGCACATGGGTTGACAAATAGAATAGAACGTGTTTGATAATATACCATTAGTCGTGAACAATCCCAATCTATTTATTGGTTGTGTATGCAAAAATTATTTACATTAATAAAATGATCTCACGTTTATTTTTAGGACAAACACATGAAAATGAGAAAATTAGTTGTTAGTTGCTTTAGAGTGGCATGAAGGTAAGCGACAGCACTAGAGAGTATACCATTGAAACTGGTATAACATTCATAGAAAAAAGTTACAACCAATTTGCTGCCATGACTGATCACTTGATTTATCATATAGCTTTGAGCAGATCAACACATTAGATTGGAATTTTTATATGAACAAAGCGATCTAATTATTTTATTATATGCTGTAAGGCGATATATATTTATTATAATAAGTATATTTTTTGTTTACCAAATTGTATATATATATACAGTGGCTTTCCGACAAGCATTTTTTGCGGCCCACCACAGCAATAGCTACTAGCTGCTACTAGTATCTAGTAACTTTAATTAAAATCGAAAGGCGTTTTTGGTGTTGATCATTGCCAAAAGATAATAAAAAGGAAAGGTCTACATTAGAAAAAAGAAAGATTTACATTGCACAAATAGATGTTATAGGCTGAGTTGAGGCAACAAACTTTAAAAATGTGGGTTCAATCTTTACAATATGTTAAAAAAAATTAATAAAAAAGCGACTAGCTATACATGAGTAATGAAGATCCCTACGATCAATGCGTTTAATAAATATCTTGTATGTTCCTGAGTTTTTCTTGTGTCACTATGACAATAATATGACTTCCGGAATTTTCGCTGGTCATAATCATGATGATCACCCTATATATGGGAATATACTGTGCATGTTAAAAGTGTATAGATCACATCGCGTCAACGAAGAACAAAATGGCAACTATCGAAGAATCGAGAAAAGAGTTGACGAAAGCGGAGGGGGAGAAGAAGAAAGCGGAGGATGCGTTGGCGAGGTTTGAAACGGGGAAACGTGGGCAGAAACTGACGGTGTTGGAGGACAAACAGTGTGAGGCAGAGCTCACAGAAACGGAGGAGAAACTATTGAAGAAGCTCGAGGGAGTGAAGAAGAAACTGGAGGAGGAAGTTAGCAAATGGAGTGGGGAAGTTAGAAGCAGGGGAAAGAAACTTCGTGAGCTTACTCAGCCAGGTAACGACTTTGTGATTCGGGCGTTGGGGACGTAGAGTAGTGTGTACATAGGGTAACATAGTATTAAGCATGGGCTGTAATGTAGTACTAGAAAACGTTACAGCCTCTAGCTCGAGTGGATTTCGTTCATAATGCTGTGTTGTATATTGTGATTCAACATTGGGCGTAAAGTCGAGCATGATTACTTCACCATGGGGAACGTGTAGTATCATTCTTCGAGACATCTGGTCGTGTCTAAAAGCTACTTCTAATATCTTATTTTCGTTAATACAAATTAGAAAAACAGCTCTTGCGTTGCGTGGCACACTACCGAAACCATAAACAAACGTTCCACTTCGTAACTTCAATGATAGAACCTTCCTGGAAAGAGTTCCAACAGAAAGTTGCAGCCGAGGTTGGTGAAATTTTAGAAGATTTTGACGACGAAAATATCCGGATTAAGCCAAAGACTTTCGACGATTATATAAACTCTCAAGAGGCTTTCGGTTTCTTTGTGCAAAACCTTGAGAAAGGGGAAAATAATCTGAGACATTTCGAGTTTGTTATTCTTGGTATGTATTTGCACTTTATTTTTGGCTATAACATGCATCATCCTGATACATTTCTCATTTAGCGCAAAGAGATTACTCTTACTTTAACACGATTAAGAAAATCGCCAAACTATTTGATATAATTGCTGACAAAATCATTGATTTACAGGAAGTAAATCTTCGTAAGTGATGCATACCTTGTTTGGAAATGCTGATTTTTTTAATAGATCCCATTGTTATCATTGTAATTCTGCAGCTGCTGAGTCTGGCATTAAGAGTGACGACTGTAAAGCCATCAACGAAACTTTTGATCGTTTAAAGGTTTGTCTCGAGTCGGGCACGTGTATGACACTTTAGATATGTATCGCTTACTTCTTACTTTGGTAAGGCCATAAAAAAATCGAGTGTCGACTTCTCTCAAGCGAATGAAATGGAGCGTTTGCTTTATATTGAAGCCGTTGTGCGTGGAGTCGTGAATACTTTTTCGCAAGTTATTTTGCATCTACAGTTCTACGTTCCTGGTCCCGAGGGGAAAGGACGAGTGGACCTTGCAATATCTTACATTAACGATTTACTTTATATCACTGAAGCCAAACGTTTTCAGGTTGAAGAGGGTTTGTCGAAAAATTTTGTGCAGTTACAGAGTGCTTGTAAGGTAATAAGATTTTTTTCGTTCTGTTTATACCAATGTTAGGTATTAAGAGTCCTCTTTTCTTTTTCTTTTTTTTATTTTAGCACAATAAAAAGCGCAAACATAATGATATGAATATGTATATGGGATCGTGTCTACAGGCGATGCATGGTATTTTACTGTCGTGACATCAAATAATGAACTGGCCACAACATATAAAGCAATACCTTTGTCTGTGAACATGGAAGGTGGCAATAATGAAGATAATGTTCTGAAAGAACAACTGCGACACCTTTTTGCTGTAATTAAAGGTCTTGTGCAAGAGAAACTGGATAGTCTGGAAGATAATTCTGAGCAGAGAAATGCTAGAATTGAGAGACTTTTCAAACATAAAAAGCGTAGAACAGATTAGCACAGCTTCTAAGGTATTATTCAATTGATGTAGTATTTTAAGTAGCATTTGAACATGTTCATAGTTTAGTGGTAATTTGTTGCTAAGTATTTGAATAAAAAATTTGCAATGTAATAAAATTATACAGTGGTGTGCAAAAAATGGCAAATACGTGGTATATCTTATAATTCATATGTTTGTAACTTACTCAATTTTGATTTTAATTACATCATGTAAAATGGAAATAAAAGCTGGTCTTTGGTGCTATCATTTTATATGTTCCAAATCTTTGATTACTTTTCAACTCCATAGACAATTCAACTCTAACCTCTACACCTGGTGTAAAAGACTTTGAAATAATGTTAGTAATCTCAAAGTCAGTGGACGGTTTATTAGACGTTCAGCTAAAAAGTCGTTGTTTTATTAAGTAAGATAATATTCTTTTATATTTACATATTCCCGCGACGATATATGGTATAAAAATATACATAGGCAAACTCAATAAGTCGGACGCTCGATAAGTCGGATTTGGCTTAACTCGGACAAAAATTTTCGGCCCCTTTTTTGAATAGTTAAATTTTCGATAAGTCGGACAACATATATAAAATCGCGACAAGTCGTAACTCGAACAATCCTGTTGACCAGATTATAACAAATAATTCTCGATAAGTCGGACCACGTGATTTTTACGATAATCTTTACCATTTTAGTAACGTAACAAAATAATTGCGCCATTATTTAGCATCTAACAATATTTTATTATCTTATGTCACCATTTAGTTATCGTTTGTAATACATTGATACAATTGTCTTAATCGTTCAGAAAGACAATAAAAAGGTTGACATAGTCAATTGCTTTCAAAAACGCATTCCAATTTACAACCAAACTGCAATTGTGAACGTAGAAGAAACATCTAGATTTGGAAGCAAAAGGGAAGAAAATTAACCTCACTAACTAATATTCAAAAAAAAAAAAGAATTATGCAAATATAAGAGAAATAATCCAACCAAGTCGTATGGAGAGATTGGTAGGAAATTTGGCATTGGCAAATCAACTGTAGGAGACATTATTAAAGAAAAAGAGAAATGGCTTGCCATTACCGAAAGCTCAATAAATGCCAATAAAAACGTAATCGTGGGGGTTGAATGGCCGCAGGTGGAAAAAGCGTTGGCAATTTGGGTAAATCTTGCCAATGAGGCGATTTTGAGTCAAAAGGCAAGTTTATTATTTATTATTATGATAAAGTCGGATATCTCGATAAGTCGGATACCTCGTTAAGTCGGACATAGGAGTCCGCCCCGACGAGTCCGACTTATCGAGTTTGCCTATGTATTTGAAAACTACGCTCTTGGCTTACACGTCGTCTGGTTTGCTAAAGTGAAAGTGGCGTGTTTATGACCTGAGCACAGTTTAATTTTTTGTTAATTATTTTTAACATTTTGAGAAATGTGACCAACTTTGTACAGGACATAAATTACATGACAATTTGTATATCTGAAGGAGACACAAATGAGGTAAATTTATATAGAAATACAATAGAGGAAATCCATCAGGTGGTATATCCGAGGTTGGGATATTAAAAGGGTTAGGGACACAAAAGAGGTATGACTGTATTTCTGAGTATAAAGAGCTACTCGTTTATTAGAAATGTTTACAATAGAAAGAATTAGAACAATTGAACACGCTTGCTTTATATTAATATCTTTCAGTTAATCTAATTATTTTACTATATTGTTATCAGTATGCTGCGCCTGCTGTCATTTCAGCATGTGTCTTTTGTGGCACCAGACAGAGGAGTTACACCGCAGCAATAGTTTCCATAACATGTAACCCGCAATTCATTTCCAACTTTCGATGCAAGCTTTCGCCGGCCGAAATATTTTTTTGTCTCCTGTTGTGCAAACAAAGGTGTAAACTGATGGGTCCGTATTATTTCATCGACAATCATTTCACCGACAGTACATTTCACCGACAATTAACTACCAAAAAAGGATAACTTCGAAATAATGTTGGTGAAGATTTGTCGGTGAAATGATTGTCGGTGAAATGTTTGTCGACGAAATGATTGCCTCCCAAACTGATCTAATTGGAAGATCAGGAAAGAAGATTGATGGGAAAATACCAATACTGACATTGTGGATATTTTTCACTAATGTCACTTTCTGCGGAAACACGTGAGAGCCGATAGTGTTCACGATGAATCCCTTCCAAAGAGCGGGTTACTTTCGTTAATAGCTAATAATTGATAATGGCATTTAAGACAAAATAATTAGTATCGTGTTCATCAATAGAGGGCTTCCATAAGGGTCCGTTTAAGAAAAACTTGTTCGCTACAAGATTTCGAATCTTAGTCATATCCTCATAGACTTTCTGTAGTGGTTTCTTTAACTTTCTATTATTAGTTCTGGTCATCTAAGTGTTGCATTCGCACAGTTTGATTATTGATGTCTGTTGTTGGCAGGTTTTCCTGCTTAGGCGTCTTCATTAGTGTCGGATTGTTTTCTTGAGTAGAAACTATAAAACATTGATACAGTTGATTAGTAGCAACGAGTTAATTGTAGTGTGTTCACAAATTGAATTAAGGTTAGTAAGCCACAAGTCGCTTAGCGTCAATACAGGCTTAGTATTAGTATTATATTAGTAAAGTTTGATTCTTGTTTGCTCCCGCCAATCATACTAGCGTTTCCTTTTCGGTATATCATTGATTAGATGAGCGTGGGAGATTTGTGATTATTACTGTCACGACTTTGTTCTCAATGTCAAAGAAGCCTGCAATCGTGAAATTTTATAGTGGTAGAAACTGCGGCCAGCTTGAAGGAACTGTAGGGCCTCGTCACAAGCTGATAAGAGGCACACAAGTTTTGCGAGACAACATTGTAGAATTTGAAGGTAACCACATACGCTTTACAAACGACTGCTTGAAGGAACTGCAGTCCACACCAGAAATCACTGAACCCTCACAGCCATCATTATCGGAAGATGTTTTTGAAAGAATGGTATGTTGACAAAGTCAGAATAGCCAGTTACAATATATCATTTCGCAAATATCTGATGAGTATATCGCACATTGCACCGCCTCAGCATCTTGCGCCTCTTCCACAAGAATTACTCTATGAAGTCTTATCCTATCTTGCCGACGACTATTTTACGCTTCACAAATGCGTTCTTGCATCCCACGCTCTGGCATACTCTGCCATTCAATTTTTGTACCGTGATCCGTTCTCTCTTGTGTCCGACCAGCGTAGAACCAAATTGGTTTGGTTGCTTGTACAGTACTTGACAGATGAGGAACGGGCGATGGCCATGTATTGCGACATGTTAATGATTCAAGGAAGTAGACCGAGTTTGCCGTACGCAAATTTTATACAAGTTCTAAATGATACCAAAATATTTTGTGCATGCCGAGCATTTTATGCAGGCCGAACATTTTACAGAAAAAAAAAGCCTTGTGTGAATTATGTGCCAAAACAATTAGTTCAGAGATTGATGGCTATTAGTACAAAGTTGAAGGAATTATCCCTTGCAGAAGCATGTTGGACCAAAAGCCATGACATATTTGAAAATGTCGGGCCGCAATTGACATTCTTTGGGTTTGGTTCTATTGCTGCAGACCAGATGGCTTCCCATACACTAGAGAAAGTTCAAATAGCAATACGCTCGAGTTTAGAGAAACAGACGCAGCTGCAGAAGTTGAATGTCAACTTTGTCAGGAACGCTACGAGTAGCTTCTTAGCTACTATTATAAAGTTGAGACAGACTTTTGGAAAACTTGAAATTATTTCGTTTCGTTCCTGCACGTTTGAACAATCATCATTGGTGCTACTGCGAACGTTGGTAGAGCAGCTGGAAGCTGTTCAGTTTGCGAGATGCGCAGGAATTTCAGAAGATATCCTTGATTATTTAAGGCGAAATTTGTATATTCTGGGCTGGATCACGGCGAAGCATCAATCCGGCATGTATTATATAACATGTGCCTATAGTAAAAATGCGGATTACAAATTTCCCAAGATAAAGGGGTGTTGCGCCTAGAGAGATTAAAAATGCAAGGATGTATGTTGGTGTTGGTCAAATCGGATGCGCCGTTAATTTGATAATAAAAAAGAATATTCAGTTTTCGGTGCTTGAGAGGAGTCAATATTGAGCGTTAATCGATTTAACATTTCTATCCTGAAAAGAAGTCAGATTCTTAACCTAGAGAGTTTTATCGACCAAATGCTTCCGAAACTAACTATAGAAACGTACTTTCAAGAGCATACAATTCCAGAATCCACAAGGATCAATGCAATTGTATAAAGCAGTTATATAATAAATCACGTCTCACTAAATTATTAACAATTTCTCATATACCCTATTACAAGTATTTTAAAGCTGAAAAGTTGCCCTTGTGTCTTTAAAATATATAATCCGTCACGTAAACACTCTAAACTTTAAGGGACAGGACGGTGTTGAATTTGAAATGACTGTGCGCGGTTGAATATCTAATAACAATGTTTCACATTCTCAGTCGAGATTTAAAATTACGTAAATATCCTGAGTAGTGGAAGGATTTAATGTCGTTAATGATAATAGGTAATTTGTACGTACGTGTTATTCGATATGGACCAATAAGTTTTTGTATGAATAAAGGCATTCGTTTATTGCATAATAAAAGAAAAGAAATATTAAAAGTTGTTGAAGGGTGCTGCGTAATTAAGTAATATTCTACTACTTTGTTATAATGTATGATGGAAGATCCAAATTTTTTGCTGTATTAGATGAACGTAATTCTCGCTTTACGGGTTGTTTGCATTTTCAAAGATTTAATAGTTTGATTTGCGTTGCCTGAACCGGAACAGATTGATTATCTGTCAGGGAAGGCGTATTTTTATCAGAAGCAGCATTAGAGTTTGTATCAGAAGTTCTCTGACGTTTTGCCCGTTGAGTTGAATCGGAAATTTCAGTCATACGTTTCGTATAACAGCTGTTTCTTTTCAGAGACCAAAGATTGTGTAAGAGCAGAGAATGGTTCATATACTGAATTGCATTTGAGGATTTAAAATCGAAGTTATGCAACTCTATATATAATTTATCCTCGTGAACGCCAAGTTCCTCTCCTACCAAAACTTTAGATCGATCAAAAAGATTTTTTTTAGCGACGTGATGGCGTACTATTATTTCAAGTTCCGTCAACTTTATGGACTTCCTGTGACGTACTCGGATACCCGAATGGTAAATACAGTCATGTCATGTCGTATTTGGGTTGTTGTTTTCACGGTGCCTATGGCTCTAAGCCAAGTACGAGAAGATGGAACATTTGTCGCTGATTTTGAGGAAACATGGCACTTGTATGCGCTTACCTATATAGTAAACTAAAATATAGCAGAAGTTGTAAGTGTTTGATTGAATAAGACGCAAGCTAGGACAAGTAGTCTATAAGTCAGCAAAAAGTCATAAGGACGTACCGTGAGTGTATTTTCAAAAAGATTGGTGAGAGTGCCAGATACCTCTATTATGTCATCCGGAGAGAAAAATGTGATAGCATGCCAGTTTGAGTTTCCTTTGGTACGTAAACTTGTACGCGCACACGCGAATTGGTTCACCGGCGAAGTTTAAGAATACATCAATAGCTTTGAACAATATCGTGTCTGCCTTTTGTTCAACCTTAAGTACGTGGATTGCGGTAGACCAAACATGACAATATAAGGCACAAGGCGGACAAGTAATCGAAGGATACAATGCAAGTATTTTTTATTGTTGAAAACAATAGTAAAAATTGGGCAGGGCAAATGTTGGTAAACAATAAGTAAAAAGTGTTATGGTTAGTGACTATTTTCGGTCAGAGCAAAGTATAACATGATTGCTTTTAAAAAACAATTTCAAAGAAAAAAATTAATTTTATTAGTCAGCGCAGGATGATGGTACAAAGAGAATGGAAACAATTGTTTTGACAGAATAGATTTCATTTACGAGTAATTTAGTGGTGAAATGGCGTAGATTTTATTTGCTATCATATCGTATGATAGTATAACGACAACGGAAGCAATTGTTTCGAAAGACGAAATCGAAAAGTATAATGCAGGATAAATAAATAGCATTGTTTTTATTTGTCATCGTTAGGAAAAAACTGGCGGGCTAATTTGTTTGGCGCGTTTTTAATCAGGTATGGCATAGCGCACAATGCAAGTAACGGATGTGGAAAACTGCGGACGGATGTCCGATGAAAATGAGATTTGTATTAAAAAGGAATAGACGCACGCGTATGATGATTGATTATGGAAATCGTATGTTACAGTCAACCCTCTCTAAATGCAGCCTCTCTTTTCTCTAAATGCACAGCAAATGCTCAGTCCCATGATGGGACTTAAATAAGTGCACGTTCTATGTCCTGCAATTGCAAGCTTCTTTCGTAACGCTAAATGCAATTTCATGTGATCATTGATCTACAAATAATCACGTAATAAATGTTCCCGATATCTTTGCTGGTTACATAATCGTATTAAGGGTCTTCGGATTGTAAGGTAATATTTGGCTGGGGTTATTGGGGGGGGGGGGAGGTAGTCACTTCACAGTATACAAGCTCTTATTAATGCTTTATAATATTGGATTTATATTAGTATAGTTTGTTGAAATAAAGCATTTCACGCTTTTAATATCTAATTAAAAAAAGGAATATTATAATAATACTAATACCTTGGATTTAATAAATTACGAGTTCGTATCAAATAAAATGCCAAATGCACTAACGTCTTGTATCGGTATATACACAGGGAAACTCTCGACAAGTCGGTTTTGGCCTAAGTCGGTCAAACACACAAATGAGGAAGCATCGCATCGGATGGAGATGTTTTTGTATCTAGCTGTAAAAAGAGGGAATTGCTGGGTGGATAAGTAAATGATATGTATATAACAACTCTTTGACATAATAATAGTAATATACATAGTAGTAATAAGGTTTAGTGCTGGATAGAAGTGGATACGAATTATTTTCTTTATATCTATCTAATGCCAGTAGTAAGTTTTTACTCCCGCTCTTATTATCTCTTTTCTTCTACTTACCTTTATACCGTTGATGTCAGAGCTTCTGGCGTCGGATGAAGTAGAGTTAGAATTATCACTACAAATCGAGTTGTGAGGCATACATTATTAAATCGCTTGATTATTGAATGAGAATTTGGACATGATGGCATTCTGTCTCTTTTCTCTGAGTCCTCCAGTAATAGAATTGATGTTGGCGAATTTATGTGTCGAAAAACTTTTCGAAATCAAGGAAGTGACTCGTATTAACTTCTAAGTAATATAATGATAATAGATATTAAGTAATAAATTGGGTTATTTTATTACGTAATTATTTATTCCACTAAAGATGAAAAGATACCTGTTAGTCGGAAGACGTAGAATAACCGAATAATTAATAACTTACGTACAATAACAACTTTAACCGA